ATTAGTTAATAATATATATACCTTCTTCCTTCCTAATCTGTGTCTTACGAACCGGAATACTTTTAGGCTTGTTTTGGTTAATTCATCGAACTACCAATTATATTAGAAAGTGATTCTGCCATTCTTCCTAGTAGATCAAACTTCAGTTTATCTACTTCGTAATCATCATCTGAAGAATCAGAAGTATCATCATAATTATCAGCTTCATTGCTTGAACAATCCCACATATCAACAGCTGAATCTGCAGTGATAGTATAAAAATCAGTTACAGTTTCTACACATCGCAAAACACATTAGAAATATATAGGATATTCCTCATATCACATCAAGATATGTTATATGTTATAACAACCTGATGAATCGGAGTCGCCATCAGAAAGGTCGGTCACTCCAGTAGTGTTTGTTGGACTTCGAGTATTCGTTTGTGTTGAAACGACACTTGTCTGTCCTCTAGACATACAATGATTCGTCCTAGATAAACGATCACCAACTTTTCCGAAAGTGTTATTGTAGCTCGAAAATTGGCTACTCCCAAATGAACCTGTTTTCCTGAATTGGCTTGAGTTGCAAACAACGGAACTCTGTGAGTTTGGCGGTTGCTTTTCTTGTTGTCTGCTAAGCTCCAGATTACCTTTTACTTTCATTTCGTATATAAATAAACATCAGAATCAAAATATAAATTTCAGTACTCAAAATAACGTGTTCATTAGAATACCCGCAGGAAGAATAATCGGGGATGACATCGTTCTTTCAAACTGGGAACGACGAAGCAATCCACAATTATCAACTTTGTTAATGCTTAGTTCTCCGGTTTTTCTTTTATGTCTCAAAATGTTTAGCCGATCTGAACGTGCTTGTCTTTCTACAGGGTTTTGTATATTAGTCTTGTCCCCCAAAACGGTACCCTGTTCTTCAACGGTTGACTCCTTCATACTTTGCATGTTTTGTGGTTGAGTTCCATTTGCTTTGATTGTCGTCGTCCCTTGCAAAAAAAAACATACGTACTTGTTAAAATAATAAGTAACTTTTTAGATCAATGTCTGGATTGAAATGAACTATAAGTTGATACAATTACCTCGTTTAATTCTTTTAGCTGGACGAATATCATTGTTTTCGTTTTCTTTATCATCAGTGGGTTTTGCTCTCTTCATGTTTCAGAACAATAGAAAAGATGTGTGACGAAGGGTTTTCGAGGATGCGTATTTATTTAAAAGATTGCTTTAAAATCAATTTTCCAACCTCGTGTCTTATAAATTTGACAATAGGAAATCAGAATATGAACAATATATAGTAAATAATGTATTTATAGACACAACTGCAATTGAAGGCGCCAAAAATTCTATACTATTAAAGCAGTTCTGCCATTAATATTTGAAAATATTTAGAAAAGCATGCCATTAAAATTTAATTTTCATAGAAGTATATTTTACTTATGTAAAAAATAGAATATTCTCAATATTTATGCTAAGTAATACTTTCCATATTTAATGAAAAATATTAAATCTATTTTGTCAAATTGCACTCTTTTTTCTCTATTTAATTTTAAATCATTTTTTGTGTGCGCAGAATTTTATTTAACGTTCGAATATGAATATACATATATATATATATATATATATATATATACATAAAGTAGGTCCAAAAAGTATTTACTGTGTCAGTTGTACATAATACCTATATCCCAGTTTCGAGTATTCAAAAGAAAAACAACGGAAAGAGGCTTTATAAGTCTAAATTAATATTAATTAATATTAATATTTAATTTAATATCTCTAGTATATGTCACGTTTAAAAACAACGGCAATAACCAAACAGTTGAACTAAAGATATAAAACCATAAAAAGCGAGAATCCAACATATTCAATAACAAAGTAAAGCCTTCATTTAGTTTCCCTACATGCGTTTCAGCCACTATTCTCTATCTTCTCCTCCTTGATCTTGCCGGAAAGAACGCTCCTCTCAGAATTCTACACAACATTTTCATTATATAGATAAAATTTAACTACAAACACATAGTTTGAAGGCAGAGCATAAACAGATGACAACATGTAAATGTATAAACATACCGTCATAGCCGCGGTGTCATTATACGAATACAAGTTAATATTTTTTATAAACTTCAAAACCTTGTAGGTTTCATGTTTGACACCAAAATTATCGGTGTCAATACCAATCTTGAGAATGCATGTCTTTCCAATTATCCTTTTTATTGCGAGAGGGATGACATCAGTCCTATGTATCTGAAGAAAATATATAACAACAACGACTAAATACAAACCTTTTTCATAAACAACCGCGAGATCCCAATCAATAGTAATATTTTAATATTATTATCAGAAAAACACATAACGTACGAACCTCAAATTTGTTTGATGGACCAGCATAGCAATAGGAATTTTGATTGAGTAGTCTAATAGCTTCGTTATCCGTTATCAACAACTTTGTGTTGCCGGTGCGGTCAAGGACTACTAAGTGCAAACTATACCTGCACAATCAGAAGATGCCGGATATATAATCTTCTAACATTTTTAAAAGAAGATCCCTTAATTGTTGTACAACACAACTAAGACCAACATACCTTGGCAAGGTGGGTGGATTATAAACCTTGCACTCGAAACAGTAATATCTCGGCTTGTCCAAATAATCATAATTTGCATCGCGTCGATTATAATTTGGAACGCGCAAAACTTTCTGATCACACTGTTTACAGCTCAAATAAAACCACTCCATATCGAAATCAATAGCTCCAATTGTACAGATAAGAAGACAGTTCTCAACCTACAACGAATAAATATTATATCTCAATACACTTCTTATAGTAAAACAAATGGTTAACTGGGACATCGATGCCAGGGAACTCGTTCTCAAGAAAGACAACGTCACGACTTGTGAAGAATTCATTTGTATCAATATCATACAGATTCCAGGCTTTCTTTCTGTATGAATAGCCTACAGATATGCACTTGCGACTCCTATCACCAAATTTATCTTTGTCACGAGCTTGTCGATGAGCGTAACACAAGCAGCCAAATATACGAAGAGAATCATAGCTTTGAGCAGAGCCATGAAGCACTTCGTATGGAGATTTACCTTTTAAAAGGCGAGTATTTGTATGATTAATCAAGTGAGCAGCTGTGAGAATACTCTGGCCCCAGAACATGATAGGAAGGCAAGCTTGAAACAAACAAGCACGAGGTACATTTAAAATGTGTCTGTGTTTTCTCTTGACACGACCATTTTGTTGTGGCGTATGAACACAAGAGGTTTGATGTTGTATTCCATGCTGACGAAAATAGGACTTGAGAGCAATTGATATAATGTTTGTTAAATTTTTAATTATATTAATTAGTAATATAAGTTTAATTATATTATAAAATAAAAATATTTTAGTGTTTGATAAATTTAATACTCCCTCCATTTTGAATTAGATGTCATTTTAGAGGAAAAATTTCGTTTCAAAATAAGTGTCGTTTTAGAGTTTCGAGACAAAATTTATTATGTTTATATGATATTCTATTTTTCTATTGGTTGAAAAGTGGTTAGGTGTATTGGTAATTGTGTTTTTATATTGAAAATATGTAAAATGAAATGTTCCTTAATCTGTGTGTAAAAACCTAAAATGACAAATAATCTGAAACGGAGGGAGTAGTATAACAACAAAATTTAATTATTTACTATTTAAATCTAGATTGTAATACTAATTTCTATATTTATAAAATAATAATTAAAATTTCTATTATTAAAAATAAATGATAAAAAATCTATGATTTATTAATTAAAAAGAAAATTATTATGTAAAAATTCAAATAATACAGTATATTTATTTTTAATTTCAAATTTAAACTAATTAATAGAAGTAATCAAATTTTGTTATTAAATGAAATAGAATAAAATATATATTTGAAAATTTGGTATAATGAATAGTGTTACACTAATTTGGTGTAATACTATTCACATTACACCAAATTTAATGGAATAGTGTCAAATTTGGTGTTTTATTGAAGATAGTTTACATCATATTTAATGTTTTTGTGTCATTGTTAGAAATGAGTTAAGGCCTATAGACCGAAAAATATAGCTTTCTAGCTACATAGGTTACCATTGGAAATTGGAGTAAATCCAGCTTCTGCGTTTATTATTTCATCCGAACCACACAAAATCAATAAATCTTACACAAACCAGTTTAGTTGTTGATTGACCGGTCAACGCTCAACACACACATTATTATAGTTAGTTGCAGAACACCATAGATATTGACGATTTAAAAGGACTTGGAAAGATATAAGAATTGTTTGAAATATTTCCGCTCCAATACACAACCATTGTTTGAAATATTTCCACTCCAATACACAACGATTGTTTGGAACATAAGTTAACATTTGGGCCCATTTTTAACACTTTCAGCTAATATACGTTTTGTAGAGTATGATTAACCCTGGTGTTACCGGGGTACTTAACTAATGATTTAACATTTTCTTACACTTTTCGACTCTATCTCGTATTTAAAAGATGCTTCTTAATTTTTTTAGTTAAAATATAAGAAAAGTTAAGAACCGTCTCTTTAATAATCCAAATTAAGAGAATGAGATTAATCATAGTTTTAGAGCATGATTAATGGAAAATTCTTAGGATGGAGTTTTTATCGGAATTAAGAAACTATCTCTTAAATTTTAACTAAAAATATTAAGAACTGGTTCTTAAATAAATTTTTTTAACTTTTTAATTAAAAATTTATAGACGATTTGTTAATTTCGTTAACTTCATCATAATAACCTCTTTATTATCATGTTCTTAGAACACCTTTATCCGGACTCTAAAGAAAATTGCTGTTATCGATTACAAAAGGAGTTTTTAACCCACGTGTCAGCAAACTAAGTAATGAGACATTTATATTTTTCTTTCTTCTCTCTCGTCTTCTCTTTAAGTGCCTCGTCTTCTGCGTCTCCTCTTCCGTTGATATCTCTCATCCGTTGAGTTTCGGAACTTCTCTGTGGAGATCGATGGCCACATTCACTCGAAAGTGAGTTTGATTGTATTTTTGAATTGGTTGGAGCTTGATTTAATAATGGTGTTCTTTCTTGCAGTAAACCACATGTAAATGTGGGAAAAATTGGGCATGTAGATCATAGCTTGAAGATTTTTTTATGCTAAAAATGTTCTCTTTTCTTACACTTGGTTGTTAAAGTTTAGATTTTTTTTTTCTTTCAATTACGCAAAACAGAGCTGTCTTCTGTTGTTGGTTTCTCTATGAGTGCTTACTGTTCTTTGAGATTTAATTGGTTACAGAGGTTAAAGTTTATACCTTTGTTTGTTTGTAGTAATATTGAGAGCTGTCTCGTGTTGGTTTGGTTTCTCTATGAGAAGCTTCATGTTTATGAGGTGGTTTAATTGTTTCGATGTTATACTGCAGTCGATTCTATACAGAGGTGTTTCGAGGAAAGAGAAACCAAGACGTCATCATGGGTTGAATCAGCAGAAGAGGCAAGAGATGAAGGAAGCTTTTGATCTATTCGACACTGATGGGGCTCTCTGGCACCATTGATGCTAAAGAGCTTAACGTTGCTATGAGGTGAACGTGTTTTCTCTCTATTCATTTTTATGATTTCTTGGAATACTAATCCTTCAAGGTAATACTCTGTGTGATTAGGGCGCTTGGTTTCGAGATGACCGAAGAGGTAACATACTCGTTTTATTCATTTGAGCTTCCTTTACTTCTTTTAAGAATAATGATGATTCTTATTTGTCACAGTAAGATTTGTGTTTGGTGCCTTAGGCAGGGTCATGCTAGGAGATTTGGTTTACACCTGCTTGACTGAGATGGTTCTCCTTTCCGCATGGAGCTTCTTTACCCGTCAGTTTCCACTTTTTTCTTTTCTTCATTTATTTTAAACAGTTCAAGTGATTCTGTCCTTCAACTTTTGTTTATTTATCGTCTAGGTGTTGGTTAGCTTCTACATTGATGTCGCTGTTTTATCAGCAAGTATCTCTTGCTCCTTTTGCTCTGCTACATAACTCTGTGAGGCGTGTTTCGAACACTAGAGTTGTGCTTTGCATTAACGGTATTCTTCTTATATACGTTTTTGCTTCCATGAGCCATTTAGTCTTTCTATATTTCAGGTTTGGGTTGTGTATAAAGAATCTAGCTAGATCATTGGAATCCTATGGGTTGCTCTATTGCTATCTCTTGGCAGGTACAACATATCTCAAAAGCTTAACTCTTTGACGAAACCGTTCATCACCTACCATCAATATAAGGAGAGATTTTTTCATTCATGTGTTTATTGTATTTGTCTTCTTCTCTCCTTCTCACCTTGATCACAAAGTTCCATTGTCTCCTTCTCACAAAGACTCTCTTTGATTATAAAGTTTCATTGTCTCCTTCTCACAAAGACTCTCTTTGATTATAAATTTTATCATTAAAAACAAAAAAATTAATTTTTTTTACGAACCCTTAATAAGAAACTCTCATTGCACCATATATTCAAGTTTTTTATCTAGAGTTCTTAAGTCCACTTAAATACATTTATATGATTAAATAATCATTAAGAAACCAAGTGAGTTCATGGGATAATCATGCTCTAAATTTCTTATTTAAAAGACTTTTTAATTTTTTTTTAATTAAAAGCTAATAACGTCTTTTAGCTCTAAGAACTCCAATTAAAAACCGAGGTTAATAGTGGCCTTAGACCTTGCTAAGTTTTGCTACTATTTTCTTGTGACTTTTTCGAAACTTTAGTATGATTTAAGACAACGACAATAACTAGTTTCTTATGTGTTATTCTCCATTATTTTCTGTTATAGAATTTTGTTTATAGACCTATAACAAAAGCTAGCACTTAAAATTACATCGGCATAAATGTTCTTCGCCGAAGTTATCACATTCGCAACTAGAAGGCCTATTGGCTTCACCTCCTTTCTTAACAAAATCGTTTATGCACGTTTTGTTTCCGTCAGGACCGCATCCCCCGATAAATATATCCTTCCGGACGCATTGGTTATCCATTGGAGTCAATCCAGCTTCCACGTCTATTATTTCATATCAACCATACAAAATCGTTAAGTTTTAAACAGAAGAATCTAGTCACTACATGTTTAAAGCACTACATGTTCTATAACTCTTTCCATGGAGAACGTATTTAGCAAAAGTTAAAGTGTAACCAATCAACAGAAACAGAAATTGATGCATTACCTTTGACATTGTTCATGATAACGAAAATGAGAATACAAGAAACCAAAAAAATACTAGCAGATCTCATGATTCTTGATGTCTGAGTTTTCCTTTTCACTTGCTTGTGCAAATTTATTTTTTGTGTATTGAATTTGTATTGGATGAGATAATACAACCGTATATATATAGTCATATTCAACAAATTGATACAAAGACCAAATCTAAAATAATTATTGAGAATCTTTAACTAGTTCTAGAAGGCAATCTTCAATTTATTCTTTATGCCAATATTGGTCACTATATATATGAATTTACCCTTTTGAGATGGATTAGTTACTATAAACATCAATTATATATTCACTAATATAAGATACTTTATTATGTTACACTTGGTGATATTCTTCTTGTTTTTGAAATAATGTTAAATTAATTCTTCACAAAAACGGTTGTAAAAAGAATGTAAGCCACGGTTTGGTTTCATAAATCAACCTACATGTGATGGAAACTTGTAAACTAGATCGTTTAGAAAACAAGTAATCTAGCCGCATTGCAAATGAGTGCTCAATTTTGGATCCCCTTCTTGTTGCCCTCTTTCTTCTTTTTATAATAGCATTCCCTTGATCTAGCGAACTGGTCGCGTGTACGGAGGGACTTTCACCAGATGGGCTGGTCAGCCCGCTAAGGTAAATACCTCAGCTAAGCGTCATTAACTCGATTAATCGCGGAAGTTATCCAATTTAAACTAAACTGGTTGTTAATCAATGAGGTGTTACCACGTTGGACCGTAGTCCGCGTAGACCAAACCCATTATTCAGTAAACCTTATGAAGGGGAGTATTTCACCACCTACAGTTGGTTAATTAAGTTTTGCTACTATTTTCTTACTTTTTTTCTGTGCAACTTCTTATGATTTTTTAAAAAACTTTCTTATGATTTTAGGCAGACACAACAACAAAACTAGTTTATTCTGTATTATTCTCCATTATTTATTGTTATAGAGTTTTGTTTATCGACCTATAACAAAAGCTAGCAAGGAAGAAGATTACATCGGCATACATGCTGAGTGAGGTATTCAGTACACTCGCAACTAGAAGGCTTATTTTTCCCTTCACCTCCTTTCTTAACAACTTCATTTATGCATGTTTTGTTTCCGTCAGGACCGCATGCCCCGTCAAAAAAATCCAACCGGGGAACATTACATCGGCATAAATGTTTGTCAAGGAAGTTATCACACTTGCAACTATAAGGCAATTCCTCTCCATATGGGAATTTTGTATCTACTTCCTTATCAAAGTCGTCTTTGCACTTTTTGTTTCCGTCAGGACCGCATCCCCCGATAAATATAGACGCCCAGTTCCAGCCGCATTGGTTATCCTTTGGAGGTAATCCAGCTTCCACGTCTATTATTTCATATCATTCACACAAAATCGTAAAGTTTTAAATAAAAGAATCTAGTCACTGATAATTCAACAAATGTAAAGCACTACATGTTCTACAACTTCTTCGAGAGCGTATTTAGCAATAGGTAAGAGTTAAAGTGTAACTAATCAAAACAGAAATAGAAAATCGATTTTATCTATTTGCGGCCTCGAAGAACAGAATTGCTGTAAAGCAGATTCAAGTTCAATTCATTGTAACCAAAACCTTCATTCCATGAATGATATTTACCATTTAGCAAAAAAAAAAAGAAATAGAAAATCGATGCCTTACCTTTGACATTGTTCATGATGAAGAACATGAGAATACAAGAAACCAAAAAAATACTAGTAGATCTCATGATCTCTTTTGTGCCGGTTTATTTTCTGTGTATTGTATTGGATGAGATAATACAACCGTATATATAGCCAGTCATGATCAACAAATGCCTTGGTAATCAATGTGATTTGGAAAGTATGAATACAAAGACAAATCCAAAATAATTAATGGGAACTTTTAACTAATTTTAGAAGGTAATCTTCAATTTATTCTTCAAAGCTATATTGGTCAATAGATATAGATATATACATATATATATATATATATATATATATACATATATCTAAATGTTACCCTTTGAGATGGATAGACTAGTATAAAACATCAAATAATATCTTCAGTGATATAAGAGATTTTTTTTTCCTGTTACACTTGGCGATATTATTATTTTTAGATAATGTTAAAATTAATTCATTATAAAAAACAGTTGTACAAAGAATGTAAGCCATGGTTTGGTTTTTATATAACAACCTACATGTTGTAAACCACAGGGTTTAAAAAACAAATAGTATCCTTTCTACATGTCAAAGTGTGTACCCCCTCCCACTATTTACCTTCCGATGAGGGTAGAGATTCTGTGAGATGTCAATCCAAGTTCCGCACTAAAAATGTAGACAAATAATATCCTACTATATGTATGGTGTTCAACTTTGATTAGTATATGCGATTTTGGGAATGAATTCAAAACCAAATCCATGCTACTTGAACCCAAAATAAACAATAGCATATTATAATTGATCACCATAGAATTGGATGGACACTCATTAGAAAGAAAACAACATGTGGTATTCAGACCTCAGAAAAGACAACACCCGTGTTAAAAGGATTCTGGACGGACTAGTGGAAAATCTTCTCATTCTGTGTAAATATATATAACTTCTCCAAGCTAAAAGGCAGCTCTAAAGCTCAAGAGGGAGAGAGGTCTGCGCAATACGTGAGGGACTCTGATCCAACAAGATGTGAAAGAGTACACAAGAGTCTATGTATCATTTCTTGACCATATTTATTCTTTCTTTCTTTTTTGTCGAATAAACAATCAATCTTAAGACTTCCATAGCATCTGCATAACATTTAGAGCCAAGCGATATTTCAAGAATATGCTAACATGATTAAGAAAATGGGAAGAGATGTCAGTTTTTGTTGGGATGACCCAAAGTCAAAAGCGCTTTTCATGTGTTCTCATCAGACACAAAACAACATAGCCACAATAAACAGACCTAAAGTTAACTTAGACCACCACGGAAAAGTCTATACAACCGACACTTGTCTTCATCATCTCTCCGATCTCTTTTTTCTCTAAATTTTGGAACAGCACCATACAGACATAATCACAACCATGACGACATAGACAAAGAAAAACCCTAACTTACTATAATCTCCACCAAAGAGCTTCCAAGTTATGACTAACTTGCCATCCCCCCTGTGGCTTGTACCCATGAAATCCTCGACATTATCTTTTTCTGCGCTTCGTTTCCACCTGAAGACATTGTTAACATCAGCCTCAAGCTTTTGAACACTTAATGAAGCTTATAATTGCGGAACAATAGCTTTAATGAAGTCATTTGTTCTCCCCCCTGTAACAGTCAATGAAATTTCTAACTACAATACAGTATGCTTAAGTTAGTGGACGTGGGGGCATTACAAAATGGATCTTTAATAACCTTCACAGACCAGACAGATTGTTTTGCAGTAAGAACCACAAAAAAAATTGTATCATTCTGGCCACTCCCCACACATCAAAGCCAGTGGATATTCTCGGTTATGAAACTTTTTTGACTTCAAACACATGCGATGAGTAAATAGATACAAACGAACCTTGACATCATCAGCTGGAGATGCAGTAAACCCATTCTGCGCTTTCTTGACATCATCATCAGAGCTGCATTCAGCACACACAAAGTGGTCAAGCTTCTTTGCTTCTTCAATCGTCATGCCCACACACGCAGGATGATACCTACAAACATCCAAATATTAAAATCTCTTCCTCGCTGTACCAGAAGTAAGGAAAGCTAATAAAGAAGACATGACATAACCATTACCAGTCTTTGCAGCCTTCACACTGCACCATGAGATCGTCTGGATTATAAGGCATTTCACATTTGCAGTACCTTCACCACCAAAAAACAACCCACAAAATAAAAATTAAAAGAATCATGAAAACTACAACGTTTTTTTGTTTGAACTGAACTGATTACTACTTATCAACTTACACAGCAACACGGTCAGGGGTAAAAGCACCAGTAGCAGCCTTGTACTCGAACCTACAATAATAATCCTCAGCACCAACGTTTTCAAGCCTCGTGTAGTTTTTGAAGGTGTGAACAATGCATTTTCCTTCAATGGTGTGTGCGCTTTGCACGTCGAAATGGTCAGACAAGAAAAGTTCTTTGGCTCCATGGAACTGTCTCCTACCACCAAGGGACTCCTCAGGGCGGTAATACCACCGACAGTGCACCTTCACGTTGTTCCTAGCGTCCGCTTCGATCTTCTCAACACGGGCCACGTACGGTGGCTTGCCAGCATCTGATGGACGCATCAACACGCAATCTCCAGCTGCAGATGGGCAAAATCAAAGATTATATATCATAGCTCTCATCATGCCCAAACTCTACTAAATTGATATGAATCTCGTGACATAAAACTAACACCAGCTACGAAAAGTAATGGTCTTTAGAATACCTTCTTCGAAAAGACCAAAAAAGTAAGTAAAATTACATAAAAGAAGCCCAACTCAAAACAATGCATCTCTGTTTCGGAACAAGAGAGCTATATTTTGCAGCATTGCATAAACCAAACACTTGCCAAAGTGAATGGAATACACATTTTAAAAACAAAGCTACACAACCAAGAAGACTAGGAAACAATGAAGAAACTATTTAAAAACAGAACCAAGCAGACATTATAGACTCCAAAAGGACATAACGATCTACAATGCATATGATAGAGAAGCAGTAGTAAACAAAAAGTAAGTAATTTTTTCTTCAAAGAGACCAAAAAAAAGCAAGTAAATTTACAGTGAAACAAGCCCAAAATCAAGACAATTAACTGATATACGAAACAAGACAACTACAAAAGATCACATTACAAACACTTTCCAAAGTCTAATTGTGAATCTTAAGAGAGACATTGTAAGATATGGAGCAAACCGCTAAAATGGAACAAACACAATGTATAATTCTAACAAGTGACGAGAGAAGATAACCTCTGACGAGTTTGTTGGTGCCTTTGATGGTGTAAGAGTCGAGCTCCTTCCTCCCTGTTTTGATTTTCGAGGGCACACCTGGTCGTGTTTTCGCCATAAGGTAGGGTTTTTTGTTTGGTCTTGAAATGTACAGAGAGAGATTGAAGATCTAGGATGCGTAGATCGATGAAGGAGAAGATGAAGAGTAAGTAAATCTGGAACCCTAGATTCTCTTCTGGTGAAGAAGAAGATGATGAGTCATTTGCAATTTGGGACTTTTAGTATTGGGCTTATTATTATTTTCCCCTTTTCTTTTACTATTACATCTCATTTTTCTTCTAACAAAATTTGGAATTATGTTTACTTCTTTTTTTTTCTTTTTTCTTTTTTTTGAGAAATTCTTTTTTTTTCTTTAAACAAGAATTGCTTTGTAACGTGTATAAGTTAATTTGGATTTAGCGTCGAATCAGCTAATTTAAGAGTAAAACTAATCAAAAAGTTTTTATATATTCTGTACTCAAAAACATGGTTGAGTAGTTAAGTTTTATAATCGTTCATAATTCTTTTAAAAATACTGATTTGAATTTATCTTAAATAATTTTTTTTTTTTTTGCATTGTCGACTATTCAGTTTTGTCATTTTTGAATGAAACCAAAACATTTTAAAGGGAATAAAACTACAAATTAATCATGGGTGGAGTATGTCCATAATCGGCCAGTTTGACAAACCAATAACATGAATGCTCGATAGAAGATATGTTACTTTGATAATACCCACGTCTCATGTAATAACTGTTCAGATACGAACTTTTTTTTGTGGTCATGTCACAATTGCTTAGATTCGATCTTTAATAAACATAAAACAGATCAATTTTCAGGTGAATATTTGAAAAGATGTTAAAGATCACTTTCTAACCAAACTTTTCACTGTTGTAATATGTAAGGACAGTGAAAAAGTCCATTCAAAAGTTTTGATTTATTCGGATTTTGGAAACTTAGATTTACCAGATATTTATAATAGGGTTTGGTATAAATGTTTGATACCTGGTTTGCACTCGCTACTTAATTCGGTTCAGTTTGAAAAAATGCTACAATTAAGTCGAGTAATAAGTAACTAGATGATAATCCACGCCATACGTGGAGTGAGCTTTTTAAAAATATGTTGTATTTAAATATATATTTTGTTATCAATAATTTTTTTTACATTTGATTTGTGATGAGCATTTAGGTACTATTTGGTTCAGTTATATTTTGTTTGGTTAAGATCTTTGCAATTTGGTTCGAATCTTTGCAGGTTCGGATTGGGTTTATGTTCGGATAACCCATTTAACTTCTTTTTAAAAGATTAAAATTCATATATACTTTAAATTTTTCAAAATCTAAAAGTAAAAATAATTTATAACATATAAATTTGAAAAATGAATACCAAAATACTTAAACTTAACATAAAATTGGTTTATCTTAAATATTTGGAAAAAAAAATCAATAAATATTTCAAATATTTTTGGTATTTGGAGTATCGTTTAGCTATTTTAAAAATGTATGTTTAACTATTTTATATATTTCTAAGTATTTTGGAATTTTTTTAAAAATCTCATGTATTTTGTATATTCTTAGATGTTAAATTCAAAAATAATTAATATATTTAAGTATATAAATATGGTTCGAGTACACTCGGATCCCGAAATATTTTAATTCAGTTTTGGTTATCTAGATACGAAAATTTTGAATCCGTTTGGATATCTAACAAATTTTGGTTAAAATGTTTTCCTATTTTTTTGATTAGGTTTG